CTGCACCACGAGGGAAGTCCCAAGGGTTTGAGCTTTGAAGACAGGAGTCAACTGAGAAGAAAGGAGACCAGAGGATAAAAGAGCAGAGGATCCTGTCAAACAGCTGTGGAAGTCTCTCCATCCAAGAAGAGGGGCCGTGGACTCTTGGCTTTTCCCTCCCCCACCCCCGCCCCCAACAAAGGACTCGCATGCAGCCACCGGGGCAATCAGCCGACGTGTGTCAGAACCCTCTCAGAGGGCAGAGGCTGCCTTCACAAGCGGGGTCTGCGGAGGACCGCTTCCCCGCCGCGTCCGGAACTAGGGTGCCCGGGCCCAGTCTCCACTGCTGTCCCTCGGCGCCGCAGTGGTTAACATTTCGGCACGGTCTCTGCCCACATCTCATTGCTCCGTGGACCTGGCTCACTGGCCTCACTTTCTGCTCCAGGGCCCCAAGCCCTGGAACCCTCAAACCACCGCCTGACAATGCGTCCTTCAGAATAGCGTGCAGTCACGAGACCAAGCCGGCAGGTCAACAACCTGCTGTGCCTCGTCCTGACTCTGCTCTTCCTGAAGCCACGCGGCTATAAACACGAGGGGAAAGTGGCGTCACAGAGCAAGACGTAAAAACACCACTGGAGCCCGGGCCCAGGGTCTTCCGACAGCCGCTGCTTTTCACCTCTGGGAGGACGGAGGTCTGTGTCTCAGCAAGGGCTCTGGGCACGGGAGACAGTGCACTGCCCGAGAGGGAGCTGTGCCGATGCCGGGCTCCACCCCAGAAAACTTCCAAGCTTGAGGTTCCCCTTGTGATCACGCCAGCGTGGGCTTCCTAATTACCCAGCACAGCAGTTCAGAACGGAAAGCTTCAACCGCCCCTTAGCTAACTGAAGGCCAGGAGAAGTAAACGTCTCCCCCAAAGCAACAAATGCAGTTCGGATGGCAACGCTCTCACTCTGAAACCTACTTGCAAGCAGCCTGTGGAGTAAATGGAAATCAGTCTTATCGAGCTCTGTACCGCAAATCACCTCTCAGGGCAAAAGTACAGGAAGGTGACCCTCAGGTGGACTTAGCTTGTTGATGAATTTCACGTGAAATGAAAGAGCTTGATTTCATACAGACTCCACCTTCTGGCTGTTAGCGGGATTTAGGATTTATTCTTATTCTCCCCCCGCCCCTCCCCTCCCATCTGTCGCAACAAAATACAAGCCTGCAGATCAGAGCCAGCCTGCTGGCGGCAGCTCCTACAGGGGCAGAAATGGCCGGGAGAAGGCCGGGGAGTGAGAACCTGCCAGTGGCCACAGCCTCCCGGGCTCTTCCCCTACAAGACCTGTCTGCAGAACCCCCCAGACGCAGTCCTCTAGAAGACCGTCACGTGTGAGGGGCACGAACCCCATGTGGTAAACTTAGCTTTCTTACAAGGCTTAAAACACGACACTGGCCAACAAGTCCGCGTACCAAATTTGAGGTGCTGATGACTCCCCTCTAACGGGCACGGAAAGCCCGCTTCATGCACTGTACTGTCATGTATACTATAATCGTCAATACAATTCCAGCACGCAGGTCATGCCAACATGGAAGCACTATTCCCCACGATCCAGAAGGAGCACAGAGCCCCACCTCCTCTCTGCCCAGGGTCTGCCAGGGGCGCTACCAGCCATCCAGGCAGGGAGAGAGCAGCCGACGAGGGGGCAGCTCCACGAGAAGCGGCAGAGGCGGCACCAGGAGCCCCTGGTCCCCATACGCTGTTTACAGCGCGATGGGCGTCTGCTCAGAAGGTCACCCTTAGAAAGGGAATCACCCACCCGAGGGTGTGTGCAACTCCACGCCGGCAACAGCCCTCCAAAGGGGCTTCACTGTTCTCCCCTCTTCACCAGCTGCTCGCTAGGATGGCCGCTCCTTTATTTTAAACGCTAGGACATCAGGCGTGACCTTGTCTGGACAATGAAAGGACACTTCCTGAGAGACTGGACACAGCAGACAGAACCGGTTAAAGGCGTTAGAGAGAAGCAGAGACACTCCTCCTAGTGTTATGAGCTAACTCTGCTCCCCCCTTCATACCTTGAAGTCCTAACCCCCCAGGACTTCAGAAGGCGATGGAATGAAGCTCTTTCAAGAGGTGATTAAGGCAAAATGAGGGCATGGGGGGGACCCTAATCCAATCTGGCTGGTGTCCTTCTAAGAAGAGATCAGGACAGAGACACACACAGAGGGAAGACCAGGTGAGGACACAGGGAGAAGGCGGCCGCCTGCAAGACCCCGAGAGAGGCCCTGGGAGACACCCACCCTGCCAGCACCTGGAGCTTAGACCCAGGCCTCCAGAGCTGTGAGAAAATAACCGTCTGGGGCTTCCGTCTGGTGGCGCAGTGGTTGAGAGTCCGCCTGCCGATGCAGGGGACGCGGGTTTGTGCCCCGGTCCGGGAAGATCCCACATGCCGCAGAGCGGCTGGGCCCGTGAGCCATGGCCGCTGAGCCTGCGCGTCTGGAGCCTGTGCTCCGCAACGGGAGAAGCCACAGCAGTGAGAGGCCCGCGTACGGCAAAAATAAATAAATAAATAAATGCCTGTCTGTTGCTGATGCCGCCCAGATCCCGGCAGTCTGTCACGGCAGCCACATAAACTGCTGCACCGAGCTCTCAAGGTCCCCGTGACACTGGGGCAGGGAGCAGACTGCCGTTAGGCAGGACACCTGAGCTTGGAGATCTGGCACAAAACCTCCAAAAACAGTGGACGCTGGCTCTGGAAACATGATGGTTGAGGAGGCCACTCCCACGCGAACACAGCTGGAGGCAAGCAAACGCTGTCAGATCTTCTCCCGAGGGCCTGGGTCCTGCTCAAACACCACCGTCATGTCCACAACCCCCAGGCAGAAGTCGCCTCACCCTCGTCCCTCCAAGATTCTGAACCATCCCGTGACTTTTCACAAAGATGACAATTACGCATCATCGCTTCAGTGCTGAGTGCTGGTGTCTCTCCGTCCCCCCTACGCTGGGAGGTCCCCTGGGGCAGAACCTCTGTCCTACTTTATCTGGAACACAGAATCCTGAAGCTCACAAAAATGTTCTCAATTCGATTTGCTGCATAAATGTTCTCTCGACGCTCTTCTGGCATCACAACAGAAGCCAGCCTTCATCATCGTGTTCCTGTTAACAGATCGGCGATTCGATTTCTTTACACAGATGTGTTACATCAATGTATGCAAAACACCGGGCATCTTTAAATCTTTACATTATAGATTGGGTTTTGGTGAGCAAAGGACAGTCCCTGCCTGCATTTTCATTTCTTTTTTCTCCCATTTAATGTTTCAAGGGCACTCTTCCTCGCTGCTCCTTCAGAAGATAAACATTTTCTCAAAAAAATAAAAAAAGCCTCTTTGACATCCCTAATCTAGGATTTCACTGAGTCTCACCACTCTTTAAAAGCACACACAATGATTCTGAAAATTGCTGGGTTTGCAGCTCAGAAGCAGAAAGTTTCTGGAACTCGTTCTGTCAGAGTGGTTACGCAGCCTGCCAGAGGACACAGCTGTGAGACAGGCAGCGTGGGGTCCCTCCCCCGTTCCCGTTGACCCCTTCGCTGCCGACAGTGCCGTTACCGCACACATGCACGCGCGCGCACACACACACACGGTATGTACATTAGAAGCCATGTGTTATGACTCTTCACAGCAGGAGAGCTGAACTCCAAGCAGCACATGCGTGCCTCTCTGCAGGATAAACGCCTGAGGGCTCCGTGCAGCGGCGAAGCCCGCGCCCGAGTGTGCGGGGAGCGTCCCCGCCGCACTGCACCGCACCGCACTACAGCACTGCTCGCACTCCCACGACGGCAGCAGGGCCCGGAAGTGGCTTTTGATAAAGAGGACAGCTGGCACTTGGCACGTGAGCTGCTCGCAATCCAGAGCCACGGAGCTCTGACTGTGCCGCTCAGACACAGCTCAGCTCTGTACGTGTGTTATTCACGGACCTTCCTCTCTCACCCGGGGTCTCTGGTCTTGGCCGTGCAGACTGGTAAGTAACTGCGACCATATCCTACACATGCACACACAGACCACCACGCCTGCTCCCTCAGAGCCACCGGCACTCCTGTTCAAGGCCAGCAACGCTCAGCTGACAGCCAAATGAAATAAAACCCCGTTACGTAAGGCTCTCAAAAGCAAGCAGTTAAACTGCTCATCTCTGGGACAGAATCTTCAGTTTTGAGGTTGGTGTTTAATTTGAGCGGCACACCAACTCCCAGAGATGCTCAAGGAACAGAAAGATATGCACTCAGCGACACTACTGTGTACAAATTTGCTTCCATTCTGCCATCAGCCCTTTTAAAATAAGATCGTACCCCAGTTCCTGCAGTGACCTACACTTCCCTCCCCCGCCCTCCTTGTGGACAAGGGTCCAGACGACAGTATGTATTTCACCTAAATTCCACCCTCACTACAGTGACACAGCTACACTGGACACACTGGAGAATCCGGGCACGTGACAGTGTAACACTGCTGCCATTCCATTCTTTCAGATGCTCTCATCCCCTCCTGGGGAGCCAACCGACTCGATTTCTATTTTAAAGCTCAAAATTAAGTCAGTAAATAAGGCCAATTGAGAAAGGCTTGCCCTCGTCCTTTGACCAACAATCCTTCCAGACAATGTGGATTTCCAGACCCAGCAACCCAGCCGTGCCCTCGACGTTAAGGCATCCCGTCAGATGGCCGCTCTGGATAAAGCATGTCATTCAAGCCACTACGCTAGGTTTCTCGTTCTGTGAACATAAAGAACTCCACTGTACGGAAAACACAGCAGCTGTTTTAAGAACCAAAACTGCCACGATGGCATTCAGAGCGTCCCCGCCCTGGGGATGCTTCTCCCGCTGGCAGTGGGGTAGGGCTGAGGGCTTGGTCCTGGGGACGCTGGAAGCTGAACCTGGTTCGTGGCCACTTCAGGTCTGGCGGAAACCGGACGCCCAAGCACTCACCCACCACAACGCAGCCCACCCCAAGATCTTGCCTTCTCAGTAACCCCGAGTCCAAGAGTCTCCTACCTTGGGGTGGGGCGTCCCTCCTCGGCCTGGACTGAGGAAGAAAGCTCTCTGCGCGCACCGGGGTCCTCCGTTTGCCGTCGCACTTCCACAGAAGCTTCCTGCCAAGGGTGGCACAATGAGACACCCGGTCACCAAGCCACCGCCTCCGAGACCTCTGTGATCACGAACCCTTCATTGTGGGTTCGTCCTGTGAGCCCGCACCACGAAGGCAGTGACGCCGCCTGCCGTCAGCCGGCCACGGGACCCGTGAGCCCGGCTCTCCAAAGCGTCTCACCAAAAAGACTCAACAAGACCACGTGTCCCCTTCGGCTCTGGGCAGGAAGCAGAACTCCTACGTGAGGGTCATAAACCTGTGTTGACACACTGGCCCCCAAACCCTCATCAAATCAAACCCAGCTGGTCACGGCTCCCTGCAGCGAAACCTCAAGCCCCGGGACCTGGAGTCTGGGAGCCTTGTTTCTTGACCGATCAAGCATGGAATTCTCAGAGGTCACACTGCACGGGGCATGGGCACACGGTCGCGGTGTTTGCAGGTCTTTCTGCACCAGGGGGCCACACAGAAACCTGCACCTGTCTTCACATGCGGACGTTCATTATTGTGTAACAAACCGATGGCTGGTTTTTCTTAAAAGAACCTCCATCTGATGCTGCAGGAAATCTTTTCTTTGAAATGTACAAATGCAGATGGAAGGGGGAGAAAAAGCAGAGAGAGTGGGAGAGGGAGACTGACTATGGACTTTGAGGTATGGATACAAATGTGTAGCTTTTCAGAAAGCTTCCCATCAACTTTCACCATCAAAACTCCTACTTTAAAAAAAAAGTGAAATAGTTTAACACACTGCATTTTCAATTACATTTGCCCCAGAACAACCTTTAAAAATATTTCACCACAAAAAGGGACTAAGAAGAAAACTAATAGCACAAGTGACATCAAGGTTGCCTTAAGCCGTGCTATAACGCGCCCCTTGTAATTTCAGAGGAGTGCTTGCCATTTTCTATCATCTCCCCCAATTTCTTCCCTTTGTATATTAAGGGCAAGCTAATCAAAGGGAAAGACCGCTTCAGCGAGAGCTGACAATGAGGCTGGGAACTCGAGACGTGGGTGAGAACAGGGCACTCGCAATTGTCATGCGTGTATCGCCTCTGTCCCCAGGTGCTGATACTAGAAAAGCTGGTGCACGTAAACGCTCAGACGGCTGGACACAAGTCACAACGGCAATGGGCCATGATGTCCTGGGGCTGTCCTATACGCACCTTAAGATGGGACTGCAGTGGCTCTGTCCTGGCTCCCTGCAGGACGCTTACCTGCTTGTAGAGGTCGGTCGAGGGCGACGACCGGGACCTTCCGTGGATGTACTGTGGCCTCTCGTGTTGGTCCAGACCCACGTCCAGGATGTTGTCTGCCGAGTGGTACCTCCCAGAACTCCTGGCTTCCGGGGCTTTCCTCTGTTCCCTCCACGAGGCTTGATACTCTGCAAAGGTTCCCAGCCTCTGAGGTGGGTCTGATCTCCCCACCTTTCCCTCCTTTCCAGGGCCCGCTGTCCAAGGCCTCTCTGGCTTCTCCTTGGGGAACCCACAGGGTGCCGGCCTCAGCCCCGACCGCTGGCCTACGGGCTTGCTGGTTTCCTCAAAAAACTTCCACCTGTCGGCAAAGGTGCGCACGGTCTCGTCGGGAGGTGCGCGGCGCTGGCGCGGGCGCTCATCCCCCGCGAGCCCCACCTCGTTCATCTTCTCGGGCTCGGAGTAGGACTTCAGTTTCTGCTCGGCCGTGAAGCGCCTCCGGCCTGCGATGCGCGGGCCGTGCAGCGCACCGCCGGCGCTCGAGGGCAGCCTGGCCGGGGCTGCCTCCCAGACGCGAGGGAGGGTGTCGGGGTCCGACTGGCTGGGCTCCAGGTCGCGGCGCCTAAACGACGTGGCCCTCAGGACGCGGGCCTGCGCTTCCTTCAGGTGGTCCTTATATGTGCTGGAGAAGGCGGCTTCCGGGGCGCTCCCTGCCGGCTGCACCCCCCAGTCGCGCGCCTCTGCCTCGGCGGTGGTCTCGTCCCCCTCCGCGGCGCCGGCCAGGGTTGCCGTGCTCCGGCTCTTCTGCAGCCTGGCTCGCCGCAGCTGGATCTCGTTCCTCAGGGTGGTGGCGAAACGGTCGCTCCTCCGCATGGGTTTGCCCGCCGGGGCCTCGGGTGGGGGCCTCTCCGGGGCGCCCTCGTGGCCGGCCTCGGGCCGGCGCGCCCCTTCCTGGGTCAGCGAGTGCAGCATGGGCGTCTGCAGGGGGCAGATCTCGCCGCCCGCGTGGCCCCACGCGAAGCCGCCTGCGACCCTCTTCACACTCGCCGTTTCCACGAGGCCGGCCGCGGGCGGTTCCTCGGCTCCCTCGCAGTGGACCCCGGCCTCCCTGTCCGCCGGCGCCACCCTCCCCCTTTGCCGGGCGCCCGGGGGCCCCTCGAGCCGGGGCGGGTAGCAGCGGGGCTGCGCGGCCGGGGCGCCGCCCTGCGGGCCGCGTCTGGAGGTCACGCAGTAGTAGCGGCTCTGAGCGCCACTGTCCCCCTTCTGGTCGCCAGCGCTGGGCCGCCCCACCGGAGCGGGGCTGTCATCCGGGAAGCGCTCAGCAGGCGGCTGCTCCCTGAGCCACGTGGCGGCACTGGGTCCCTCGTGAAAGAAGGGGCTCTCGTCGCTGGAGTGGCGCGGGTGCTGGCACGCGGGCGAAGGTGGCGGGCAGCGCACGTCCGTGCTGGACAGGGAGGCCTGGAGCCGGCTGGGGGCCCCCAGGAGGGCCCTGGCCCCGCTGTCGCACGGCGGCCACCCGCAGTCCAGGGGGACACCCGGCGCGCAGCCCGAGCTTCCGGCTCTCCTCCCGTCGCCCAGGCGCGCTGGTCTCTGCGGCTGATCGGCCGCTTCCGGTCGCCAGTCGCTGTGGGACTGAGCGCGGGTCAGGCCCGGAGGGTGCTGCGTGGTGGCCGCCTCTGAGAATGGAGGGCCCTGGGTCTTCTCGTGGCTCTTGGTGGCCGCAAAGCTGTCACTGCGGAGAGGGGGAGGGGGCGGAGGAGGGGACGAAGAGGCCTTCTTCTTATCGGGAACATACCAGACTGGCCCAAAACTGGACCTCCCGGAAGCAGCTAGCTTGGGCTCAGGGCTGTCCTCGGGCCTGGGGCTCCTGCTGCTGTCACAGGGGACCCTGGGGGGGAAGCACCCGAGCCTCTCGTCCACACACTGAGGGTCGCCGGCAGCCAGGCCCTGCCGGTCGCTGCCTCCGGTGGAGGCCTCCCAAAGGCCTACTTTGTAGAGGATGTTCTCAGCAGAGGAGGCATCCGCCTTGGGCAGGGTGTGGTCAGGCGTGCTGGAGCTGGTGGAAAAGGAGCCGTAAGCGGAGTCCCGCTTGCTTGGGCCGCCCAGGTGGTCGATGCTGCTGTTGGACTTGGCAGCCGAGAGGCGCCCGGACGGGTAGGACTGGGCAGGCTGGTCCAGGCTGTCCACACTCCCCAGGGAGCTGAAGTGGTCAGAGGCGCGCTGCAGATGCGTCTGCTCCCACAGGCCGCTTGACAGGTCCTGGGACGAAGAGCTAGGAAACAAGAACCACAGGCAACAGCGTGCTTTAGAGTCATGTTGCAACAAAGGGCAAGATGAGACAATGCACGTAGGAGCGGCTGGCCCTGGGCAGAAGGCAGCCACTCGTCCCGGAGCGAGACCCCTGGGTGCGGCGCGTCTAAGTTTTCCCATTTCAAAGAGCAGCTTTCCAAGGGCAGGCTGCAAGGACCGAGTCCTACCCACACGACGCCTGTCCCCAAACAGAAAACCTTCCACGCCGCGGTACATCTCTCAGCTCGACACCCACAGGCTGGACCAGGTCCAGAGCAGGCAGCAGCAGGCAATGCCCCTGTGAACACCTTCATCCTCAATCACCGGTTAAGTGTCGCAGATAGCAAACCGCAGCCCATGAGCTAAGGACGGCTTTTAGAGTTTTTTAATGGGGGCGGGGCGGGGCAGGGCACGGAATCAAAAGAGTACTTCCTGATGCGTGAAAATGATACGGAATTCCGATTTCAGTGCTCATAACTCGAGTTTGACGGGAACTCGGTCATGGCTGTGTGCTTTGCTCCCAACGGCAGAGCTGCGCGGCTGCCGCGGACACTGGCCCACCAGCCTGCGGTGTCAATCCTGTCTGGCCCCCTGCGAGACGAGTCTGTGGACCCCTGGTTGAGGGCAGGAAATGATTCATACTACGGACTGCTAACACAAAGAAAGCCATCAAAAGAGAACGATCTTCAACTTAAAAAGGCAAGTTCAGAGATAACATGACTTTTCCAAACCCAGATATTAAAATCACAGGCATACCTCATTTTGAAATGACGTATGCCTGTGATTTAATGAAAGCTCCAATGATGATTAGCATTTTTTAACAATAAAGTATTGTAAGACTAACGTATGTACTTGTTTTTTAGACATAGTGCTACTACTGCACACTTAAAGCTCTCAATAATGAAACTATTTCTCCAGGCGTGTTAAGTGCTTTCATTAAGTCATACGAGGGAGGCAATGACCGTTCCACGCCATGTCTGCAGAGGACAGACCAGGTACCCTTCGCAGAAACGGAGCATGGTCTTCTCCATCCTCCCACCAGTATTCCTGAGGGGATTTTTCCAGGAGATTCTAAGTCCAACCAAACATAAACAAAGCTAAGCACTTCTTCCACAGGGCGTATATGTTTCTTTAATCAAGAAACCACCAAACGGGCTTAATGAAATATAAGGCCCGCTTTTTACTTAAGTTTTACCACACGGAGGAGAATCTGGTTTTTCAAAAACACCCTGGACTCCAACTATTATAATCTCTTACGGCTTGAAACAGGTAATACTGTATTTAAGACCTATTTCCTTCACAGCAGACCAGTATTTACTGACAGCCGAAAACTCATTTTGAAATAGTTATGTTAGCTCCACACACACACACACATACAGACACACACAGTCACGCATACCACAAATATGCACACACGCAGATACACACACACACAGAGGTACACACACACACTCACACGTGCACTGGTGTACATACCCCACAGCCACACTACTGCTGTTACCATCATCCTTCTAATAGACCAGTGAAGACACTGGCCACTAGCCTCAGGTGACTGGACGCTCCACGTGGCCAGGAGGAACGTCTCCAAGCCAACACACCCATGGTGCTCTCCCATGTGTGCCTTGCATTAGCCCTTCTGACCCCAAAATGTGGGCTCCAGAGAAGCCAGGTTGAGCAGCGCCCCCCCCCCCCCGCTTCCACCAGCTCACCATTCTAACATCCTCTGTCTCACAGTTACCAAGAAACCACCAAGCCTGGCACATGGGCTGTGAAGCCCCCTGGTCTCCCCTGTACCTCCACACAGCAACCTGGGGTTTGGGGAGAGAGTGCTGGTGTTTAACAGAATTTCCTGGGGGAGCTTTGGCCAAAATACCTGCCCAGCAATAAGTAACGTGGTGGCTGTGGACACGTGGGGGACGTGGACAGCCATCCCACTCGGCTGGCCCAAAGGGATTCAGCCAGAAAGCGAAGCCTCCAGGCTCCTGACTTATCAGCTGGACAACATAAATGAGGAAGCACACTTGCCTGTCGTTTCTCTTGGTGTTTTATTTTTTGTTTTCAGGCATTATACACCTGCCTGCTCAGTGAAAAAATTTAGAGTCCTACCAGTAACGGTGTGTCCACGGCCTTTTCTCATCAGAAAAAGAACATCATTCTCAGGTCAAGAAAGATGCTATTTAAAACACAACAAGCCAAAATCTATAGGAAAAATCTATGGGACAGCAAAAGCAGTCCTAAGAGGGACGTTTAGAGCAACACAAGCTTACCTCAGGAAACAAACAAACAGCTCGAACAACTTAACCTTATACCTACAGGAACTAGAAAAAGAACAAACAAAGCACAAAGTTAGCAGAAGAAAAGAAATCATGAAGATTGGGGCAGAAATAAATGAAATACAGACTAAAAAGCCATTAACAAAGATCAATAAAACTAAAAGCCGATTCTTCGAAAAGGTAAACAAAATCGATAAATCTTTAGCCAGGCGCGTCAAGAACAAAAGAGGGCCCCAAATCAATAAAACCAGAAATGAAAACAGTTATAACTGATACCACAGAAACACAACCTAGAAGAAATGGACGAATTTCTAGGAAAGTACAATCTCCCAAGACCGAACCAGAAAGTAGAAAATATGAAGAAACCAATTACCAGTAATGAAACTCAATCTAAAAAAATAACTAAATAACTCCCAACAAACAAAAGTCCAGGACCAGATGGCTTCACCTGGTGAACTAATGCCTTTCCTTCTCCAACTTTCCTAAAAATTGCAAAGGAAGGAATGCTCTGAACTCATTCTACAGGGCCAGCATCACCCTGATACAAAAACCAGACAGAGCTATCACAGAAAAATAAAATTACAGGTCAGTACCACTGATGCACATAGATGAAAAGTCCTCAACAAAATAATAGCAAACTGAATCCAAAATATATATTGAAAAGATCATACACCATGATCAAGTGGAATTTATCCCAGGGATGCAAGGATGGTTCCACACCTACAAACCAACCCACGTGAGACACCACATTAACAAACTGAAGGATGAAAACATATGATCAGCTCAAGAGATGCAGAGAAAGGTTCTGGCAAAATTCAGCACCCATTATGATAACAACTCTCAACAAAGTGGGTATAGAGGGGACGTACCTCAACATAATAGAGGCCATCTATGACAAACCCACAGCCAACATCATACTCAACGGTGAAAAGCTGAAAGCATTTCCTCTAAGATCAGGAACAAGACAAGGATGCCCGCTCTCACCGCTCTTATTCAACATGCTTTTGGAAGTCTTAGCCACGGCAATCAAAGTAAAAGCAATGAAAGGAATCCAAACTGGAAAGGAAGAAGTCAAACTGCTGTCACTGCTTGCAGATGACGTGACACTGTACAGCAAGTCCCCTACCTACGAACCTTCAGGTTGAGAACTTCCAAAGACGGCAACACGCAGTCGCCTGTCCAATCACATAACTTAGTTCACGTGTCTGGCACATTGTCACGTGCGTGCATCCTCTACCAGTGGCTGTGCTTCTGTGTACCGTACAGTACTGTGCAGAGTACAGTAGTACAGTACCTTTATTTCAAGCGGGATCTGCAAGACGATGATTTCATTGAACTCCTTGCTGTGTAACACGAGGAGCTTACTAATGGAGACCTGACAGAACTGGAGGCCCAGAGAAAGCACAAAGAGGAACAAGAGGAAGAAGTAGCTGAAGAACCAAGGAGATTCACGATGCAGGAAACGGCAGGGGATTTTCTTTACCTGAGGAGGCACTGTTAGTTTTCGAGGCACAGGACCCAAACTTAGAACGGTACACAAAGGCTGCAGCAGCCGTTCAGAATGCAATCCAGTGCTACAGTGTCATCTATGACAAGAAGAAAAGTGCTACTACCAGGCTTCCCCGGTGGCGCAGTGGTTGAGAGTCCGCCTGCCGATGCAGGGGACGCGGGCTCGTGCCCCGGTCCAGGAGGATCCCACGTGCCACGGAGCGGCTGGGCCCGTGAGCCACGGCCGCTGAGCCTGCGCGTCCGGAGCCTGTGCTCCGCAACAGGGGAGGCCACGGCAGTGAGAGACCTGCGTACCGCAAAAAAAAAAAAAAAAAAAAGTGCTACTACCCAGACATCACTGGATCGTTTTTTCAAGAGGGTAGATAGAATTGAATCCGGCAAGGAACCAAACCCTGTGCCAGCAACATGAGGAGTGAGTGAAATTGCAGCTCCCCCTCTGTCTACTACGGCTGACGATCCTTCAGCTCTACACCTCCCACCTCCTCTCCCTCCTCCAGTCAGTAACTCTTCTGGCCTGTTCACTCGATGCCAGCCCCTGGATGCCAGCTACTGTACTGGACTACTGTACTTTTCAAGGTACTGTATTATAAGATTAAAAATGTTTTATTTTTTGTGTTTTTTTTTAATGCATTGTTTGTGTGAAAAGTATTATAAAACTCTTACTGTACAGTACCATATAGCCGACTGTGTTAGTTGGGTACGTAGGCTAACTTTGTTGGACTTAACGAACAAACTGGACTTACAAACGTGCTCTCAGAACAGAACTCGTTCATATGTAGGGGACTTCCTGTACATAGATAATCCTAAAGATGCCACCAAAAAACTATTAGAGCTCATCAGTGAATTTGGTCAAGTTGTAGGATACAAAATCAATACAAAAAAACGTGTTGCATACTAACAATGAACTATCTGACAGAGAAACTAAGGAAACAATCCCATTTACCACTGTATCAAAAAGAACTAAATACCTAGGAATAAATCTAACCAAGGAGGTAAAAGACCTACTCAGAAAACTGTAAGACACTGATGAAGGAAACTGAAGATGACATACACAGATGGAAACATATACCGTGTTCATGGACTGGAAGAATACTGTTAAAATGACCATACTACCCAAGGCAATCTACAGATTCAATGCAATCCCTATCAAAATACCAAGGGCATTTTTCACAAAACAAGAATAAATAATTTTAATATTTGCATGGAAACATGAAAGACCCTGAAGAGCCAAAACAATCTTGAGAAAGAAGAACAGAGCTGGAGGTATCACAATCCCTGACTTCAGACTATACCACAAAGCTACAGTCATCAAACAATATGGTACTGGCACAACAACAGACACATACAACAATGAAATAGAATAGAGAGCCCAGAAGTAAACCCACACACATATAGTCAATTAATCCATGACAAAGGAGGCAAGAATATACAGTGGAGAAAAGACAGCCTCTTCAGTAAGTGGTGCTGGGAAAACTGGACAGCTACATGTAAAAGAATGAATTAGAACACTCCCTAACACCATACACAAAAATAAACTCCAAATGGATTAAAGACCTAAATGTAAGGCCAGACACCATGAAACTCCTAGAGGAAAACATAGGCAGAACACTCTCTGATATAAACTGTAGCAATATTTTTTTGGATCTGTCTCCTAAGACAAAAGAAAGAAAAGCAAAAATACACAAATGGGACCTAATTAAAAGTAAAGGCCTTTTTTTTTTTTTTTTTTTTGCGGTACGCGGGCCTCTCACTGCTGTGGCCTCTCCCGTTGCGGAGCACAGGCTCCGGACGCGCAGGCTCAGCAGCCATGGCTCACGGGCCCAGCCGCTCCACAGCACGTGGGATCTTCCCGAACCGGGGCACAAACCCGTGTCCCCTGCATCAGCAGGCGGACTCTCAACCACTGTGCCACCAGGGAAGCCCTAAAGGCGTTTTTTTTAAAAATAAATAATTAATTAATTATGGCTGTGTTGGGTCTTTGTTGCTGCACGCAGGCTTTCTCTAGTTGCAGTGAGCAGGGGCTACTCTTCATTGCGGTACACAGGCTTCTTATTGGGGTGGCTTCTCTTGTTGTGGAGCACAGGCACTAGGCACGTGGGCTTCAGCAGTTGTGGCTTGCGGGCTCTAGAGCGTAGGCTCAGCAGTTGTGGCACACAGGCTTAGTTGCCCCACTGCATGGGGGATCTTCCCGGACCAAGGCTCGAACCCGTGTCCCCTGCATTGGCAGGCGGATTCTTAACCACTGCGCCACCAGGGAAATCCCGAAAATTAAAGGCCTTTTTTTTTTTTTTTCAGAGGAAAGGAAACCATCGACAAAATGAAAAGACAACCTACTGAATGGGAGAAGATATTTGCAAATGATATGACCAATGAGGGGTTAATATGCAAAATATATAAACAGCCCATCCAACTCAATATCTAAAAAAACAAACCTGATTTAAAAATGTGCAGAAGACCTGAACAGACATTTTTCCAAAGGAGACATATAGATGGCACATGGCAAGTGCTCAACATCACTAATCAGAGAAATGCAAATCAGAACCACAATGAGGTATCACCTCACAGCTGCCAGAATGGCCGTCATCAAAAAGACAACAAATAACAACTGCTGGTGAGGACGTAGAGAAAAAGGAACACTTGTTCACTATTGGTGGGAATGTAAACTGGTGCAGCCACTGTGGAAAACGGTATGGAGGTTCCTCAAAAAACTAAAAATAGAACTACTCTATGATCTAGCAATTCCACTCCTGGGTATATACCCAAAGAAAATGAGAACACTGATTTGAAAAGATACATGCACCCCAATGTTCATATCAGCATTATTTACGAGGTGAAGATTGGTATATCTTACACACACACACACACACACACACACACACACACACACAATGGAATACTGCTCAGCCATAAAAAAGAATGAAATTTTGCCATTTGCATCAACATGGATGGGCCTAGAGGGGTATTACGCTTAATGAACTAAGTCAGACAGAGAAAGACAAATACTGTATGATATCAGTTATATGTAGAACGTAAAAAAAGAAACAAACGAATATAACAGAACAGAAGCAGACTCACAGACGTAGAGAACAAATCAGTGGTTCCCAGTGGGGAGAGGGAAGGGCGACGGGGCAAGATAGGGGTAGGGGAGGAAGGGGTATAAGCTATAAAATAAATAAGCTACAAGGATATATTGTACAGCACAGAGAACGGAGCCAATGCTTTATGATACCTTTAAATGGAGTATAAGCTATAGAAATTTTGCATCACTATGTTGTACACCGGAAATGAATAATATCGTAAATTAACTGTACCTCAACAAAAACTAAAAGTGAGAAATGCACAATTACGACAAGGCAGGGAAGTCATGAGTGTGGCAGAAAGTGAAACCAGTTTCCCAGCCCGGCGGGAAAGGTGTGCCTACCTGGCGTGGTGCTGGCCTGGCCACAAGGGGCAGGAGCTGGTAGAGGGGAATGGAGATGCCGATGTCTCGGGGTGGCTGTCGGAGAACTTGGTGACGTGCCAGGAGTGTGGCCTCCAGCTCAGCTCAGTCCTCCTGAAAAAGGATGCAGATGGCTCAGGGACTTCACACCAAGGACAACTTCAGGCGAAGAAAGGAGTGGGAGGCAGAAACGATTCCCGGGTGATTTACTGCATCGCTGTCAGGTGCTTCCCACTGCATCTGGGCACCAACGCTCTTTGTACAGGTTCGTTACCGGAGAACATCCCCGGGCGAGAATCACAGGCCCCAGGATGTGAACCAGCCCTTAGGCTTCCAAATTTATTCTAAGTAAGTACATGAATCTTGCCCATGACCCCCGCTGCCCCACCCCCAAGACACAGCAGCATCTTCTGTCTGTCTGGTGTCAGTGCAACTTTGCACGGGCCCTTAGCCTGTTTAAGGAGAAGGCACTGGGCTGCAGAAAAGCTTGAGCTGGGTCCCGTGGAGTTTTGACTGTATTTATTTATTCACTCACTTCACTAAGTGAACACAGCTATCCTGCAGTTAACGGGGACTGGTGGACATGTATTCCTCTGAGCCTCCCAGAGCGTCCGAAGTCATCTAAGGGTTCCTGTCATGGGAATCACCACACCCTAAGACCAACAGGCTCCAGTCCATTCCTGCCAGGGCTTCTGAATGTGGCAGGAGCCTTCCCTGCCCGCCTCCCCACCGCCCCCACCATCCGTGGGTGGCTTATTAGGTTTTTGACCACACCTGCCCAGGTGTGAAACAGCATGTCCAGTTGGACATCCCTGCAGCCGACGTAGGAACATCCCAGGGCCTCCCGGGTAAAGCTGCTGCAGGAGCACATGGCCCATGCTCGCCCCTCCTCCTCCCGCAATTTTTTTTTTTTTTTTTTTGCTGTACGCGGGCCTCTCACTGCTGTGGCCTCTCCCATTGCGGAGCACAGGCTCCGGACGCGCAGGCTCAGCGGCCATGGCTCACGGGCCCAGCCGCTCCGCGGCATGTGGGATTCTCCCGGACTGGGGCACGAACCCGTGTCCCCTGCATCGGCAGATGGACTCTCAACCACTGCGCCAGCAGGGAAGCCCCCTCCTGCAACTTAAGACGGATCTAGCCTCACCAGGGACACTTTGTACAGCCCAATCGAGATGGGAGAAAGGGTTCAACTGAGCCTCTAAGTACCTGATGGGGATCAAACATTCTTCCAACAGGCAAAAACATTAAAGAATATTATGCAACAACGAATATTAAAGAAAACCCAGAAAGCATTTATAACATAAACCTTCTGATGACTCAGAAACGAGGAAAAATACACGGGTGGCAAAATGTGGAATGTGTTGACTCTTTGATAGTTTCCCACGAGCTAAAGCATAAAACAGACGAATTCATCACACCACAGAAGTAAAGGGATTGTAAAACCAAAACCGTACCTCATAAAGTTTCTCAAAATCCTCGTAAGGAAGGTTCTGGCCACGTGAATTTCATTTTCAGATGGCTTTTCCTGTGCTATAATATCCCTAACGTCTGTCATCTTCCTTTACAGGTAATTAATGAAGGAAACAAACTAGACAAACTGCAGGCAAAGGAAAAAGAGGCTTGGAAAAGAAAACGCCTTACACTTTGTGGTAACATATTTCAACTCTGTAATTGGAATGAGTGGGGAACCAGCTGGTTTACTGGGGCAGAAGTCGTGCTCTTTGAGAAGACTAAATGTTTCTCCTCTTATTTTAAAGGATAATACAGGCAGACCTTGGAGATGTTTCGAGTTGGGTTCCAGACCACCACAATAAAGTGAACATTGTAATAAAGCTAGTCACGTGAACTTTTCGGTTTCCCAGTGCATATAAAAGCTATGTTTACACTATACTATAGTCCACCAAGTGTGCAACAGCATCATGCCTACCAAAACACAATGTACATACCTTAATTTTAAAAGACTTTATTGCTGAAAAACACTATTATCTGAGCTCTAGTAATAATATTAGTAACATCAAAGATCACTGATCACCGTAACAAATAAGATAGTGAAAAAGTCTGAAATACTGTGAGGATTACCAAACTGTGAGACACAAAGTGAGCCAGTGCTGTTGCAAAAATGCTGCCAACAGACTTGCTTGCCACAGGGTTGCTACAACCTTCCATTTGTAAAACAAACAAACAGAAAACACGCAGTATCTGTGAAGCACAACACAGCAAGGTATGTCTGTACACAGATACATGCCTCTACTTCGAGGAGACATGGTCAACAGTTACGGTACTAATTGGAGCTTTAAAGAAATAAAAAGGAAAACACAGTGAAAAGGGTGATACCTAGAAGCTCTAAGTGAGGAATCATGGCTCCTGGGGAGACTGCAATTTTCCTACGTATGTGGCTCTCGTCAGGTCCTCAGACTTTCCTAGAGCACAGTGAACGTATCCGGGAATCGAGGAAGGTTCAGGCAGTTTCTGTCAGCCCCTCTGATGTTTAAAACTGGATTCTGCTGATGAAAGGAGGACATGTGGCTGATGAAAGGAGGACATGTGGCTGAGGGCTGGTCTCTCCATCACAAGCCCGTGACCACGCTGGGCAGGAAAGCTCTGGGGACCGAACGCTCTGGCGCCACCTAGCGTTCCCAGATGGAACAGAAATGGCAGGGGCCGATTTAAGGCGCTCGTTTCAACAGACGATGGTGTTTCTTCCCACACAAGATACGCACTCCAGGTGGCTTTAAACCACCCGGGTCCCTGGAAGTCTGGGGCCGTGAGGGGTGCACAGGCCACAGGCTGTGCCAAAACAGGTGGGCAAGGTGCCCCGATGTGAGGGCCTCGGAGAACTGGGACCACGTGGTACCTGGTGGTACCTGGTTAGGGGTTAACCGCCCTGCCCCCTCAGGGGGCCACGCGTGTCGGAAGGAAAGGCACACACAGCAGGTATGCAGCGAACCACACCCGAACCTTCCTGTCCTGGCAGGCGGGACGTCTGCTATGTCTGCTACAGCTGGACCAGCCCCCCCGCAACAGACATCAAACAGGAACAGAAGGGAGAGCTGTGAAAGGAACGCCCCCTCCGCAGGCCACGCAGTCAGACACAAGCCAGCTCGGCTGGGGAGACCAGCAAGGACGCCCCTTCCGGGAGGAAGAAGGACGGCACGGCTCAGCCCAGAGACATCCAAGGCCATGCTTCCTGTGCAAGGCAGTGTGGTCAGCGATGCCAGGGAGGAAACAGCCGTGACCCGGCCGGGGTGCGGGTGCTGACCCCTCCTGTGCGTGCAGCTGCACAATCCTGCCAGCTCCGGAAACGCAACAGGGCTGCGTCCAAGTCACGCCCACGGGAGACTAACAGCCACTACCACGGTCACCCCGTGTACAGGGAAGAAAGCCTTTTCATTCACATGGCCACTGCTGCTGGGAAAGCTTAAAGAATAGACGTATTGTAGAAAACATGGAACATTTAAAAACTGAAATGCGATTAAGACAATAAAGAGGATAACCCGTCATCTGAAGATGAACGGTGGGTAACGTCTCTGCATTTCTTTCCCCGTTTCAGACGGCTGAGAGCATCGTGCAGACTTGGCGGGGCCCTTTCTCTCTGCAGCCCGCCTGGTTTGGTGAGCATTGACTCTCCAGGCCACCGTCACTTTTCCAAAATGTCATTTTTAATATGGCATAATATTCCTTCCACATGAATACCGAAAAGCAATGCTGCTGACTATTAACACCGGGTTTTCCGGCTTCCAAATCAAATTATTCGCCCTAATGAGGGTTCTCTGAAACCTTTCCCAAAAGGTGCACACCAAAATTAATCTAAATTTACTTCAATTTCTAAAAATAATTTTTTATGCTAGGTAGTCTTTTTTTTTTTTTTGAAGGGAAGGGGTTTAGATCTCAAATATAAAAAATGCTAGGATACCAATGAAAGTTAAGAATGGATCTAGATACAGAAAATTCATTTTTAAAAAGAAATTATTAAAATAAGGGCTTCAATGAAATGTTTCTCATTCAGAAAAAGAGAAGTCCCTAAAAAAAAAAAAAAAAAAAATCACGTGAACGCCGGATTATTTTCCTAACGTTTCCACGTGCAGCCAACAGGCGCTGCCTCAGAAAATAAACGCGGTCCGCATGTGGTCCCCACGAGCGCGGGGGGGGGGGGGGGGGGCCGCTGACAGTACCAGGCCTACAGGCTGGGAAGCCAATGGGAAGGGCCTGGCGGGACACTGTGAGGGGGCACCACAGGGTGTGTTGGCTGCAGGCGACATCCTCGGGGAAAATGAAACCAACAGTGATGCTTGGGGCACCTTAGAAGCAAGCGCCAAGGGGGGCGGCAGTGGGGAGGGACTTCCAGATAAAGGGAAGGCTGGAAGTTCCTCAAATGCTTCCCAGTGAGTCCTGCGGGTGATGGGGGTGAGTTCCGGGCAAGGAGCCCCCAGAAGCTTAGGGAGGGAGGGTGTGCAGAGGCCCCGAGGGACAGGCCCACAGAGGGTACAGGCCCTCGAGATACTGGGCTGGAGGAGGGCGACAACTGCAAACAGCCTTTTTATTCTTTAAAAGTGAAACACACACATAAAAAGCACCACCCTACAGACACAAAATGAAGCCTGCCCTGAGCTGCTGCTTCCTTCCTGCGCCGGTCAAGCCTCTAGAGGACAGATGCTGACCGGCCTCTCCCTCTTCCGAGCTGCCTCTACCTTCTACCACACCAGTCTCCCTGCAACTCAGCTCTGGCAGCTCCTGCCCTCACCCCACCGCCCTCAGCTACTCCCAACTGCCACGGAGCGAAGCCCGGGCCAGGCGGCACTGGCATCGCTGGGACGGCTGTGTTTGCACAAGCCCTCAAGGTCATTCCGAGGCGAGCTCAGGTCTGAGACTCGCCGCTCTAGCCCCGAGATACCCTTCCTCCCTTCCCCCATCCGCTCTGCCAGCCTCTTTAGGAGGTCCCGGCATCACTGACTTAGGTCCACGTCTGTGTCTCAAAGCTGGCTCAGCCTTCAAAGGACAGCCTGACTGCTGAGCTCTGCTCCAGCCCTCCCTCCTTCTCCCAGAGCCACCACTTGTTAGAGCTTTTCCTGTCCATGCCCATCCGCCCCCTCAGCTGCCAGCGCCCCGAGGGCAGG